AGGCTGGGTTATTGTAATACTAATGACTGTCTTTATACCTGTTGACTATTTTGTAACTACTAATTTGTAGTTCTCAATCCCTTACCTTTTCCACCCAGTCCTCTAAACCTTCTCCTCTGGCATCACCAGTCTGTTCTCTATGAATGTGTTTCAATTTTATTTCTTTGCATTAAAATATATTATTGATTTTTTTTAATTTTTTTATTTTATTTTATTTATTTATTTATTTTTTTTTACAGAGAGGAAGGGAGTGGGAGAGTTAGAAACATTGATGAAAGAGAAACATCAATCCCCAGTAGCTTCCTCCTACTGGGATGTGCCTGCAACCAAGATACACACGACCCTGACCAGAACTGAACCTGAGACCCTTGAGTCTGCAGGCCGATGTTCTAGCCATTGAGCTAAACTGGTTAGGGCTGCATTTCTAAAATGGAAAATTAAATAAGGAAGTAGAATGGTCATTGCTAGGGGTTGGGTAGGAAGATGGGGAGTTAGCTTTTAATAGGAACAGAGTTTCAGTTTTGCAAGATGAAGAGTTCTGAAGATAGATGGTGGTGATGCTGCACAACAATGTGTATGTACTACTGCCACTTAAAGATGCTTAAGCCCTAGCTGGTGTGGCTCAGTTGGTTAAGCATTGACCCATGCACCAAGAGGTCTCTGGTTCGATTCCAGTTCAGGGCACATGCCCGGGTTGCAGATTTAATCCCCAGTAGGGGGCATGCAGGACACAGTTAATCATTGTTTCTCTCCCTTTCCCTTCATCTCTCTCTCTGTAAAATCAATAAAAAAATGCTTAAAATGGTAATTTTTGTTATGGGTATTTTACCACAATTAAATATGTTGATAAAAATGGCTTTGGTATAAAGATAAATAGAATTTTAAAATTCAGATTATTATACAATTATTAATATATATAATTATACAACTATATTGTATGGCAAACTATTGTATCTTATATAAATAAATTACAGTTCCATGTTATATGTTCATGTTTCTTCTGACTTTAAAAGAAATTAAAATGGCCTGGCTGGTGTGGCTCAGCGGTTGAGTGTCGACCCACGAACCAAGAGGCCACTGGTTGGATTCCCAGTCAGGGCACATACCCGGGTGCTGCTTAATCCCAGTGCAGGAAGCAGCCGATTGATGATGTTTCTCTCTCTCATCATTGATATTTCTATCTCTCTTTCCCTCTCCCTTTCTCTCTCTCTAAAATCAATAAAAACATATTAAGAAAAAAGAATAATAAAAAAAGAAAGAAATTAAAATGGAAACATTTGTGCCAGTCCCTCCATTAGTGTCTCCTGTGGCTGGTGAAGAAATCGGCCTGGGGAAGTTGGCAGCAGGGAGGACATGCATTTCTTTTTTCTTTCTTTCTTTTTATCATTGACACTCTTACTGCTGTCCAGGTATTCTCCCCAGGAAATGCATTTCGAACATTGGCATGCATCAGACGTCCCTGGGACGCTCATTAGAAATGCACAGCCCTCAGCTCTGCCCACTGGGATTCAGATTCTGTAGTTCTGGAAGGTGGTCCAGGACAGTGGTCGGCAAACAGTGGCTCACCAGGCACATGTGGCTCTTTGGCCTCTTGAGTGTTCTAACACCACTTCTTCAAAATAGACTCGCCCAGGCCGAAAACCGACTTCTGTGCCTGGGCCATGAAGGTTCAATACTGTACATGTGCACCCGCACGTGGTAATTTGTAGAAGAGCCTCATTCAAGGGGCCAAAGAGCCGCATGCGGCTCTCTCGAGCCGAGATTTGCTGACCACTGGCCCAGGAGGTATTCTCAGGAGGATGGGACCTGGACCATTTTTTTGGGGCCGTGGCATATCTCCAGGTGGGGGCACCCCCTCCCTTTTTAAAGTCCTGACTTGACCCCACTTGCTAGGTGGCTTTTGAAACCTTTCCATTGCGTGGAGCCTATTTCTTCATCTTTCCCACAGGGGTGATGGTGCCATTGAGAGCTCCCTGGGTGCCCACAACTCGGCGTGGGGCAGCAGCTGAAATCTCAGCTCTGAGGCAACAAAGGGGGTTGTGCAAATGCTGTGGGGGAACACTGGGTGACTGAGGTGACAAATGGGCCGGTTGAGTCAGAGGTAAGGCATTGTCTAGAGGGGAGCATTTGCATCCCCAAGTGAGGCTCCTGGGAAGAATGGATGGACAGAGATTCAGGCAAAGGGACAAGCCCGCCCCAGAGAGGACCTGCAAGAGGCTCAGTAGGGTGGAGGCGGCAGCTCTGGGCCCTGGAAGGATGCATGGACTGCACCCATGGGCTCCGTTCTCTCTGGCTGTGAACAGTAAGAGAGGGAGGGGGGTATTGCCAGGCTGCCTGCCTCTGACTACCTTGTCCTTTCCGACTTACCAAAGGGAAGGCAGCTCCACACAATAATTAGCAGCTTGGAACTGTCCCTACATCCTGCCTACACTCCTTTGCAAATAAAGGCAGTTCTCATCATTCACTGTCGTTATATTCTATAAAGTTAACCCAAATAAGCAACCATTGCTCCCAGCGGAAATACTTTTAAAGGATAGGTTCTTTTGAGCCTCTGGTCATAACATTTTTGTCAACTGCTCAACACATTTTTTTTTTAAAGATATATCCTTTATATATTTTAAAAATTGATTTCAGAGAGGAAGAGAGAGGGAGGGAGAGATAGAAATATCAATGATGAGAGAGACTCATTGATCAGCTGCCTCCTGCATGCCCCCCACTGGGGACCGAGCCTATAATCCAGGCACATGCCCTTGACCTGAATGGAACCTGGGACCCTTCAGTCTGCAGGCTGACACTCTATCCACTGAGACAAACCAGCTAGGGCCATAACTTTGTTTAGTGTTTCTGTTTAAAGATGCCTTAGTTAATACACATTGTTCAAACATATATTATTGTGAGTCACTAATATTAATAACTTAAGGTCAACAGAATAACTCATGGCCAAAGGAAGCTTGTCTAACACACCATTTTCTCTTGAGGCACGTCACTGTCTTTTTGCCTAAGGAATGTTTTCTAAGATTTTTTCTATAGAGCACTTCAGAAACAATATTAGGAAACTTTTAAAAGAGCAAAATTACCAACAGAAAAACAAAAAATATGAAAAACATGGCACTAAGTAGACCTCACAAATGAAGCTTGGTTTAAAAAAAATTATTATAGTTGACATATATCTGCTTCCTGTTGGTAGGTATCCTGATTGGTTTAGAGATGAAGACAATTTAAAAAAATACATTTTTATTAATTTCAGAGGGAGAGATAGAAACATCAGTGATGATGAGATAGAATCTTTGATTGGCTGCCTCCCGTATGCCCCCTACTGGGGATCAGCCTGCAACCTGGGCATGTGCCCTTAACCAGAATTGAACCTGGGACCTTTCAGTCTGCAGGCGGAAGAAGCTCTATTCACTGAGCCAAACCAGTCGGGGCAGGAAGAACATTCTTGACCCTCAGGAGCCCCTGATGACCCTCAGGCTGAAGTCCCTCTTAAGGAAAATGGCTGTGATGCCTAATGGTTCTGAGTCAGAGATGGTTCATTTGAACCCCTCAGCCCTACTCCTCATCTCTGTGATCCTGGGAAGGAAGCTACTTATTTTCTGTGTATTTCCTGTCCAATGGGCATAATTGCCATCATCTTCCCTTGGTTGTTAAGGAGATCAATGAAGGTCATGGTGAGCCCATGGCCGATGCTTGCAGTGTAGAGCAAGGGAGAGTGCAGACCCAGGTTTAGCCCTACTTCCTCTCTGGCTCTGTTACCTTGGGCAAGTGAGTTCGCCTTCCTGAACTTCATTGCCTTCTCTGTAAAATATTGGTGGGGCTAAGTTGTGTCCATGAGACTGGTTGGCTCTGCCTAAAAGATAATATTTGTGAGGGCCATTCTTCGCTTACACACGGTCAATTCCACGAGAGAGGGACCATGCCTCTGTTGGTCCTCAGTGTATCCTCAGCACTGAACACAGTCTCTAGAGAACAGTCTCTAGGAAATATTTGTGGCTTGATGTATGCCACACCCTGAGACCTCCACACGGAGAGCAGATGATTGTGACAGCAGTGTGATGGGAGGGTGTCAACAGGCTAGGATAGGGGTGTCGAACTCAATCAGAGAAGGGGCCAAAATCTAAAATCCAGCCTAAATCGCGGGCCGAATGGTTTACTGAACAGTCATAACTGTCATTGTGATGGAAACGCAGCGGAGTGCAGTGATGACAGCGCGATGCGGGCCACATTGCAAGGCCTGGCGGGATCCGTCCCGCCAGGCCTTGCAATGTGGCCCGCGGGCCTTGTGTTTGACACATGTGGGCTAGGAGAACAGAGAGGACAAGCTGATGGGTGAGTGGTTGCAGCTGGTGGGCTTCCTATAAGAGCCATGCTATAGCTGCATCCAGAAAGATGATGTTGACTGCAATTGGTCTGTTTGTTAGCTCTCTGAGATCTGGGGCCAAGGCAATCTTGCTCACTGTTGCACTCCCAGTGCCGGGCTCAGAACCTGAAACTTTGTAGGGGCAGAGGGGGAGAAAGCAAGCAAGCAAGCAAGCTATGGGAAGGAGCTCCCCCTGTCTCCCCCCCCCCCCCCCCCCAACCCCTCTTGGTAAAGGGAGCAAAGGGCAGTGGAACTCAACCCCAACTTTCCACGTGAGCTGCTTGGGGTCTTGGAGAGTAAGTCTCCACCAGAGAGGGCTTCCGGGAAGCTGCTCCACCTCTGTGCCTGTTCCCTCAACTGGACAATGAGGATGATAACGACTCAGCACACTGAGGGTAGTGACTATGCAGTCGCCGTTCTACAGGCCTTCTGCATGTCAACGCATCTTATCCTTATAAGCCTTTGAGGTGGGTGCTGCAATTCTTCCTACTTACCGGTGGGGACACCCCAGGCCACACAGCTTGGAAAGCCAGGTTTGAAACCACGGAACCCTGGTGGTATCCACATCCATCCAGTTGACTTCCAGGATACACTGCCCCCAAAGTGCTGTAGGGTAAATGATGGCTATACAGGAGATATCTAATAAATGCAATTATTGTTCTTTTTAATTATAATTCTGCTAGAGGGCGCTCGGAGGGATGGAGGGTGACTCAAGGGGGAGGGAGGGTCACCAGGCTGAGAGTTTCCCAGGGGAACCTGCCTGGGGGTAGGGTGTGTGTGTGTGTGTGTGTGTGTGGGGGGGGGGGGTGTTAGAGGGTGCGCCTGCTACTTGGCAGCCTTGCTGTCCGCTTTTGGCGGCAGTATTTGTGGGTGGGTCCCAGGCTTTGGCGGCAATGTTTGCAGGCGGGTCCCAGGCTTTGGCGGCTGTGTTTGCGGGCGGCTCCCGGCCTTGAGCGGCGTGCGCGGGTTCCAGTCGTTGACCAGGCTCTGCGCCTGCTGGTAGTTGACGTGCGGGTGCCGCTGGCGGAGGCGCAGGCGCACCACGTTGTAGTCCACCTCGTGCCCGATCCTCTTGCAGTCGAGGCTGCGGGTGAGGTTCCGGTGCGTGGAGCGCAGGTCCTCCAGGTTCTTCTCCACGTTCGAGATGTGGCGCTGCAGCTTGTCAGTGCCCTGGCGGGGGTGGAGGGGTGTGGGGGTGGGGTGTGGGGAGAGGACGGGCCGTGTTGGGGGACCGCCCAAGAGGATGCAGAAAAGGGAGGCGGGAGGGGATGAGGGCAGGGAGGAGGCGGGCAGACTCCTCTGGGCCACAGAAAGGTGTGCGTGGAAGGGAGCAAGCTGAAGAAACGGTGCGCCTGGGATTGGGGGATGGGGGGTAGAGATGGGGTCAGGGGCGGGGTGGGGCCTGGGGAAAGGGAGAGGGATGGGGTCGGGGGTGGGGCCTGGGGTGAGGACCAGCACCTGGGCAAGGTGAGCCAGGAGCTTGCTCAGGGCAGCGCTGAGAGAGGAGTGGGACCATGAGCCAGTGGGGCGGGTGCCGGGCCAGGGGGTGAGGGGTCTTACTCGCGGGGACGCACTGGGGAGGTAGTGGAAGGACTGATCAAGCCGGGTGCGAGGTTCCTCCCTGGGCCCCGTGCCCTCGGGGCAGAAGTCTCACCCAGGGGCATGAGGGAGAGGGGCGTACCAGGGTGAGGTGCCCGGGCTCCGGGAGCTGGGTGCCCACGTGCCTCTGGTACACGCGGACCAGCGGTCTGTCCAGCTTCTCTCGCGTCTCCAGGTGACACTTTGACAGAGGACCCTGGCGGAGGGGGGTGCCGAGCCGTGAGCCCCCGGGCACACCCTTCCCCCCCGCCTCCTCCCAGCAGGCCCTGCCCCCTCCCGGGCCCCCCCCCCCCAACCATACCTTGATGAGGCCACGGGTGATGTACATCTCCTGGTTGAATTTGTTGCACCGGTGGATGGTCCCCCTCATCAGGCCTACCGACATATTCATTTTTTCCTGGGGTGGGAGGGTGGGGGGTGGGGAGTGGGGAGGTTGGAGCGTAGGGGGATCACGCTGGCTCCTCGTCCACTCTCTCCCCGTGTGCCCCCTTCTCGGCCTCAGTACTCTCCCGCCCCGGCCCCCGGACACCGCCTCCGAGGGCGCCCACCTTCAGCTCTGTAGTCTCGCGCATCTTTACGGCCAGCGAATTGCACACGCTGTCGCTGATCTTCCGCTGTTGCTCCCCCACTTCCTCCTCGTTCTTGGCCATTTCCTGCAAGGTGTCCTTGGACTCCATCAGCAGCCGCTTGGCTTGGCTCAGTGCCGCTGCGCACTCTGCGGGAGGGTGGGGCCCTCGTGGGTGCCAAGCACCCCCCCCCCCCTCCCTGACCCTCTCTTTTGTTTATTTTTTTGTGGTTAATCCTCACCTGAATATATTTTTCCATTGACTTAAATATATATATAATTGAATTTTTTTTTTTTTTACAGAGAGGAAGGGAGAGGGATAGAGAGCTAGGAACATCGATGAGAGAGAAACATTGATCAGCTGCCTCCTGCACTCCCCCTTACATGCCCTTGACTGAAATCGAACCTGGACCGTTGAGTCCACAGGCCCACGCTCTAGCCACTGAGCCAAACCCGTCAGGTTGACTTTTTATTTTATCTTATTTTATTATTTTATTTATTTTTTTTTTAAGAGAAAGAATGGAAGAGAGAGGGAAAGACAGAGAGAAACATGATGTGAGAGAAACACATCGGTCCTGCAGGAGCCCTGATCAGGTCCAAGGCTGGGGTAGGAACCTGCAACCAAAGTAGGTGCCCTTGACCAGAATTGAATCCGGAACCCATTGGTCCACAGGCCGAAGCTCTATCCACTGAGCCAAACCAGCTAGGGCTGCATCCCTTTCTTTATTGCCACCGTGGTGGTGGGCCTTGGGGGAGGGAGCTTTCCTGAGGGCCTGGGAGAAGGCCCAGGGGAGGGACTGGTGGAGTGAGGAGAGGGTGTGGGAAGCAGCAGTAGGCAGAGTGAGGAGCTATTCCAGAAGAGGGGCTGAGCTGGAGCCTGGCTCTCAGCACTCTTGTTTGGTCTAGGGTAGGGGTGTCGAACTCAATCAGAGAAGGGGCCAAAATCTAAAATCCAGCCTAAATCGCGGGCCGAATGGTTTACTGAACAGTCATAAACTGTCATTGTGATGGAAACGCAGCGGAGTGCAGTGATGACAGCGCGGTGCGGGCCACATTGCAAGGCCTGGCGGGACGGATTTGGCCCGCGGGCCTTGTGTTTGACACATGTGGTCTAGGGGGACAATGCCGAGGAAAGGGGGCAGCTGAGAAGTGGAGGGGAGTGGGTGAGCACCCACCACAGTGGACTCCTTTCTGAGGGAGCCTACCTGGTGTGTACGAGCCCACGGGGTCTATAGGCGGCGTTTTCTGACCCTGAGTGTGGGGGGTGGGGATGCGGGAGAGATCCACCCAGGAGTGGCGGCCTGCCAGCTCCAGAACCTTGTCCAGGGGTTTGTTCATTAAGTCCACAACTTGGAGTCTCTCCTTGCAGCAGAAGACCAGGGCGTCTCGGCAGGAGGCCAGGGCCTGGGGGTGAGGAGTGGGAGAGAAGCGGAGCTGAGGGCAGAAAGCATGCTGGGAGGGTGGGGGTGGCTGGAACTGATTTTTCTGCTGAAAAGTGTCTTTGCCTCTGAACTGACCCTCTTCCGTTCTAAATGTGGCTGAAAAGAAGCAATTTTCAAGTTGAAGTTCAGACACCCCACCCTCTCACCCTCAGTCCAGAAGCCTTCCTGACCTTGGGAGTGGGGTGAGTAGGAGCGGTAGGCCATGTGGCAGCTTCCCTGTCCTGGGTGTCCATTGCTTAGGCTCTGTGTCTGGCTTTGCCCTGGCACCCTGAGGAAGCCCCTCCCCATCGACTTCCCTATCTGTATAGTGGAGAGGGAGCCCTGGCTATGCCCACATCTCTGTCTTCCTGTGCCATCCTTTCCTCCTCAACTTGCATTCACCTCATCCCTAGCCTCAGAGTCCCACTTTCTCTTCTCTAATGAGTATCAGGAGCCCTCTGCAGTCCCCAGAGTCCCTCTCTCTGGATCTACTGCATCTGGACCTTCACCTCATCCAAATCCTATTTCCACCATTATAAAATGAAGCATCCTAATATATAAAAACCCTGGGTCCATCACATCCACAACCACCGGAGCCTCGACCAACCAGAAGTCAGTCCTGCAGTCAGTGCTGGGTTGCCATCGCGACCCAGCACTGACTGCTGCAGCTGCAGGTGTGGTGACCCAGCACTGATTGCTGAGGGGGCTGTGAATCAGGCCCAGAGAGAGGCCTGAAGAGAGAAGCAGGGTCTGATCTGTAGCCTCTGTGGCAGCTGTTGATAAGCACTTGCCTCACTCTTTCTCTCTGAGCCTGGCCAGCAGACCTGCCTCCATTTCTCTCCAGGCCTCCACAGGGGCTGCTGATTAGCCCTGCCTTTCTGATCAGGCCCCATTGATAGGCCCAGAGACACTGACTGGCATAGAAACTGACCAATCAAAACCAAATCTGGGTCAACTGTGAGGAGCCAATAGCTGCTTAGGAGGCAGAGCTTTTGACTTTGACTAGCATAGAAACTGACCGATCAGAACCAAATCTGGGTGAAGTGCAAAGGAGCAATGGCTGCCTAGGAGGCAAAGCTTTTGATGCTTACTAGAATAGAAACTGACCAATTAGAACCAAATCTGGGTAAACTGTGAAGAGCCAATGGCTGCTTAGGAGGCGGAGCTTTTGACACTAATTGGCATGGAAACTGACCAATCAGAACCAAATTAGCTGGCAGAGGAGGACAGTTGGGGTGAGATCAGGCTGGCAGGGGAGGACAGTTAGGAGTGATCAGGAAGGAAGGCAGAGGCAGTTAGGGGTGATCAGGACAGCAGGGAAGGGTAGTTGGGGGCAATCAGGCCTGCAGGGGAGGGCAGTTGGAGGTGAGATCAGGTCAGCAGGGGAGGGCAGTTGGGGTGAGATCAGGCTGGCAGAGGAAGGCAGTTAGGTGTTAATCAGGCTGGCAGGGAGTGGTTAAGGAGTGATCAGGCTGGCAGACAGAAGTGGTTAGGGGCAATCAGGCAGGCAGGCAGGTGAGCAGTTAGGAGCCAGCAGTCCCAAATTGTGAGAGGGATGTCCTACTGCCAGTTTAGACATCAGCAGTCAGACAACCCCTGAGGGGTCCCAGATTGAAGAGGGTGCAGGCTGGGCTGAGGGACCCTCCCCCCGCCCCCAGTGCATGAATTTCATGCACCAGGCCTCTAGTATATCTATAATAATAAAAACCATAATATATTAATTAGACTGGGCAGCTGAACAACCTTCCAGATGTCCTTCTGGGCAATTCAAAGAAGCTGGTGCTGTGAGGGCCAAGGCCTTTGTATGAATTTTGTGTATCGGGTCTCTAGTATATACACTGAGTGTCCAGATTACCAGATTATTATGATCTCTGAACACATAATAATCTGGCCACTCAGTGTGTGTGTGTGTGTATATATATATATATATATATATATATATATATATATATATATATATATAAATACACACACACACACACACACACACACACACACATATATATATATATATATATTTCTTAGAGGCCCGGTGCATGAATTTGTGCATGGGTGGGGTCCAGCCAGCTTGGCTAGTGGAGGGGACATGAGTGGTTGGCTAGGTCTGCCTGTTGGTTGAACTCCTGGTTGAGGGACCATTTGTATATTAGCTTTTTATTATATAGAATATACACTGAATGGCCAGATTATTACGAGTTCAGAGATAATAATAATCTGGCCACTCAGTGTATATATATATATATATATATATATATATATAAGAATTTCAGGCATCGGGCTTCTAGTATCTATATATATAAGAAGCCAGCAACTATAATGTCATAACAACCAGATAACTGGTCACTATGACGCCCAGGTCCTGCCCCCAGCTGGCCCCAACCCTGATCGTCTCTCCCACCCTGATTGAGGGTGGGACAGCTAGCGAAGCTGTACAAAGGTTCAGTTATGCAAGATGAGTAAATTCTGAAGAGCTAGTGTATAGCAATGTGCCTATAGTTAACAATTCTGTATTTTGTAATTGACATTTGCTTAAAGGGTGGATGGTAAGTGTTCTCACCACACAGTGAAGTAACTATGTAAGGTTCTGTACACCTTGATTGTGGTGATTATTTCAAGTGTATACATATACCATATCTCAGGTTGTACATTTTAAATATATATATATATATATATATATATATATATATATATATATATATATATATATTGGTTTCAAAGAGGATGGGAGAGGTAGATAAAGAAACATCAATGATGAGAATCATTGATTGGCTGCTTCCTGCATGTCCCCCACTGAGGATCGAGCCCACAGCCCTGGCATGTGCCCTGACCAGAAATCGAACCGTGACCTCCTGGTTCAACCACTGAGCCATGCCACCCAGGCTATATGTACAATTTACAATTGTTAATTATACCTCACTGAAGCTGGGGAGAAAAGGATTCATGACCTAAAACCACAGTCCTGCCACTGGCTAGTTCTGTGCCTGGGGTGGGGCCATCTCTCTCTGAGCCTCAGTTTCCCCATCTCCAATAAGAGACCACAGTTTCTACTTCCCAGGAGAGCTTAAAGGAGCTGACGCAATGCATGCACTGGGCTTGGCACAAAGAGGATGTTCACCGTCATTCTGAGGCCCAACCCCATCCCTCAGAGCAAAGCAGATATCCAGTGAATGCCAAGTTGGAGTGAGTTGGTTGAGAGGTGTGTTGTTGTTGGTCCTCAAGATCGCAGCGGTTCGTTTCTTAGGCAGCCGGGGGTCCCCCTCCAGCCCTCTTCACTGGATCCCAGGGATTCCTGACCTTGAGCAGAGCCTCTGATTTTTCCATGTCTTTTTCCATCTTCCTCTTCATGCTCTTTAACTCCTCTTTCTCCCAGATAAGCATGCTGTCAGCTTTGTCAGGGATCTGGAAAGCGAGGAGAGTTCTGCTGGCCAGCAGGAGGATGGTAGAGGTTTGCCAACCTTCTTAACTCTCTGGGTTGGGGGGATAGGGTTGGGGGTCTCTCTGAGACGACTTTATCCTTTCAGGGGGCTGGAGAGTGGGGCTGGGTATCTCCCTTTCCCAGGTGGGAGTCCAGTGAGCTAGGATGAAGGTTTCTCTAGGGCTGGGGCCCCCTTCCTTGGCAATGGTGTTATTCTCCCCTCTTCCCCCCATTACCCACCTTCCTGGCCAGTAGTGAGGAATTTCATTATAGGGATGATGAGAACTTGCTTTTTAAAAAATTTTTTTAAATTTTTTTTAATTTTTATCTTACTCTCTGAATTTCAGGGCTGGGACGAGGAATACAAGCTCGTGAGTGGGGTCTCATTCCTCCCCAGGGAGGCTGGAATGTTCCCGCTTTGGGGTCTAGGTCTAGAGTTTCACTTTGGAGGGAGATTTCATAGGACCGGGACTAGGGAGGGGCTCTCTCTCCCTGGCTGGAATTACCTCTTGGGTGTGGGCGCTGAGCGGCTGAGGGTCTCAACCTGTAGGCAGGACCTGTTCCTTTATTTTCCCATGAGGCCTGGGGAGGGTTTCTCACTCACTGGGGCTGGGGAGAGGTTTTTTTTTTTTTTTTTTTTTTTTCTTGTTTGTTTTTATAAACGTTTTGAGGCAAGTTTCATGAGCTGGGACCAAGACATCACCCATTCTTTTTTTATGGGTGATGAAATAGGAAATTCTGCATATTTCGCTGGGCGTGGCATTGAGGGTCTCATGACCACAGGCAGGTCTCACACCGAGGGCCTGGGGGCTGGGTGGGCGATTGCTTGCCTGGGTTGGGGGTTGTGAGCTTCACTGGGAAGAACTTCATCTTCCATCTTCTGTCCCTCACTGGGGAACTGGGAAACATCCCATCTGGGCTAAGGGGACTGAGGATCTCATCCTCATGGCGGGGGGGAGGTTAGGAGGGGGGAAATAAATCTCTCTCTCTGGGGCTGGGGACCAAGGCACCTCATCTTGGGGGTGTCCCCTCTTCTTGGGCCCTTGCTCCCTGGAACTGGGGCCTGGGACGGGTGCTCTCCCGCGGGGCGGGTTTCTCTCAGGGTGAGCTAAGGCAGGCTTCTGTCTTGGCGACTGGGCTTGGGTGGAGGGGTGGGGGTGGGGTCTCCCACCTTCTCAGACTCGGGCCGGTAGCCCCGAAGCTTGACGCTCTGGTGGTTGATGAGCAGGCCCTTGCGCACCTGGCTGAGCCGGTGGTCGGTGGCGTCGCGCTGGCGCTGCAGCAGCTGCAGCTGCCCATTGATCTGCTGCTGCGCGCGGCCCAGGCGCGCGGCGGTGAGGCGCGACCCACGCGCGTGCGCCTGCACCAGGTCCACCGTCTGCAGGGCGCGCGCGTCGCGGTTCAGGGGCAGCGGCAGGCGCGCGTGCCAGGCGGGCGGCTTCATCTTGCTCTTCCACAGCGTGACGCCCTCGCCCGGCGGCGGCTTCTCCAGGGTGCTCCCGTCTTGGAGCATCTCCACGTGGAAGCGCCAGGGCAAGATGTAGGCGGCCCGGCACAGGTGGTGCGCCACGTTCGGGTCCCACACGCTGTCCTTGGGCTGCCACATGGTCACGGCTTCCTGCCCGCAGCGGGCCGTCAGCTGATGCGCCTCCAGCATCTTGGCCTGGGCCTCCTCGCGCCATTGCGGGGCCCCGACGCGCTTGTTCTGGCTCTGCTCCACCTGGGGGATCAGCACGGGCATGGCCCCTGCTGGGTGCCCTGCCTGGGCCGCGTAAGTGCGTCCTCCACGGGGAGAGGGACACTCAGCGACACGCCCTTGTCTCCTGGCCTGGAGCGCGAGGGGAGCGGAGCCCTCATCACAATGATGACCGCGGTGACAGGAGGGCGCACAGAGTTCCAGGGGTGGGGTCGGGGGAGGGGGAAGGCCACAGGGAGGCGCCAGATGGAGCCTTTGGAGCTCTGTAGAGGTGGCTTCGAGTCCTAGCTCCTTGAGAAAGAGGACCTCATTCTACCCGCCTTTCCCTGTTACTTCTTACCCGCCAGCAACAGGGGCCTTTGTCCGGCTCTTCTTAGGACACGCTCAGCTCTCCCTCCCTGCAAAGCGTTGGACTCTCTGTTCCCTCTCCGAGGCATATCTTTTCCCCTGTTCTTCCCATGGCTGGCTCTTGCTCAATCTGCAGAACCCAGCTCACACATCGCCATCTTCAAAGGAACTTTCCCTTGCGCTGTAGCTAAGCCTCACTCTCTCCCGTCACGCCGGATTGTTAGTGCAAGAAACAGAAAAGGGGACCTCACCACCAGAATCACAGTAAAAACATTCAAAGAAATAGAGTCCTGTCTGAACTTCCTGTTTCCATGGAGGAAGAAAACCTGTTTCCCACCGAGACATATTTGTATCACATATTTGTCCTCATCCCCCCATTCCCATCCCAAACCCCTCCTCACACATGTCCCCACCCTCCGGTTATCTATGACCACTGGTTAGGCTCATATGCATGCACACAAGTCCTTTGGTTGATCTCTCTCCCTTATCCCCTCCCCCCCTCCCCTCCCTATGAGGTCCGACAGTCTGATCGATACTGTTCTTGTTCATCAGTCTATGTTGCTCATCATTTCCCCTAGATGAGTGAGCGCATGTGATACTAGAAAGCAGTAGCATCTTTACTTGGGCATTTGTTAGGCGCCTCATATCATGGTCAAGATCCTAGAGCCAGACAACTCGGGTTCATATTGTGATTCTGACATTTCCACCTGTGTGACCTTTGGAAAGTCACTTGACTTCTCTGTGTCCTTTGTGTCCTCACCCGTTAACTAGGATAAGTGGATTGTGGCATGGGTTAAATGAGTTCCTAAGAGTGAAGTGCTTAACCAGTGGCTGACATTAGAGTAAGCACTCTGTAAGTGCTTACTTTTCATTTTTATTCACTGAATGAACAGATGAATGAGCTTTTTGAATACCAGGAGATGCAGAGAGGGTTTCACAAAGAACCGGGGAGATGGCTTACTTGGGACAAACACTCAACCATCCATCTTTTCTTTCTTCATTTAGAGCTTCCATTCTCCCATCTGGAGGATTTCACTGTCTTGGTTTGTGGCCTGGTGTATGGGGTATTTCTGTTGAATCGTAGCAGGGCTGGGACTTTCAGTCTCCAAGAGATTTAACTGCATGTGGCCGAACAGATATGATGCTCAAAAATACTACAGAAACATTTAGCTGGGAAAAACATTTCACTATTACAAAAACTCAAATACCTCTCTTAAGCTAACAAATAAACCTGTTTTCATGCTATAAAAGTAATGTATGCACTGAATCTATGCTGCCTAGGGTAGTGCTGTGCCAAACTACCTTGTGCTCTTGTGTCAGATCTATATAAAGATGTTTTTGGCTTCCACATGGGTCTGTGGTGCAATTCATTATGGCTATGGATGGAAGTGCAGTCTGTCCTAGTCTGGCTTTTCATTGGTTCAATGTATTCATGTCAACAGGCCCCCGTGTATACCACCATTGCCTGAGCATTGAAATCAGTAATGCCACTGCCCATGGCTCAGCCCACCAACTTCTCACTTTCATCTGCCAACCCCAGTTTGTATCAACGTCTAAAACTCTCCTCTGATTCCTAGCTTTGATGGTCCATTTTGGGCATTTTTTCCCCCCCTCTAGTTTGACACTAAGCCTGTGTTGGAGGATGAGGCAAACCACCTTCGGCTTTCAAAGCCTGCTGATCACAGCTTGGGTTGACAGGATTTTTAGACTGAAAAACTGGTATATAGAACCTGCCAACCCAAGCAGTCTACTTCCTCCACCCCCAAATCATACATTAAATTTTAATGCCCAATGTGAGGGTTTTAGGAGGTGGGGCCTTTGAGAGGTGATTAGGTCACAAGAGTGGAGACCTCATGAATGGGATTAGCCCTCTTATAAGAGACTGCAGAGAGCTCCCCTGCCCCTTCAGCCCTGTGGAGACAGTGAGAAGACAGCTGTCTACAAACCAGGAAGTGAGCAGGCCCTCACCAGACACCAAGCCTGCTGGCACCTTGATCTTGGACTTCCCAGCTCCCAGATCTTTGAGAATTAAGTGTCTGTTGTTTCTAAGCTACCAGTCTGGGGCATTCTTTCTAGCAGCCCAAACAGACTGAAACAGCAGGTGCTTGGAAGGAACTGTAGCAGGGCTGGGACAAACGCTCAGTCTCCAAGAGTTTTAACTGCATGTGGCTGAACAGAAATGATGCTCAAAAAAAAAAAAAAAAAATGCTACAGAAACACTTAGCTGGGAAAACATTCTACTATTATAAAAATTCAAATACCTCTCTTAAGCTAGCAAATAAATCTGTTTTCACGCTATGGAAGTAATGTATGCACTGAATCTATGCTGCCAAGCCTAGAGCCTGGCATAAACCCAGAAAAATATAATGAAGAAAAGAAAAAAATCACCTGTAATTTCATCATCCAGAGATATCTAGAGATTTCATTCTAGCCAAAATTTCCTGAAACTTCCCTTTCCCCATATACAGGGGTGTGCAAAAGTAGCTTTACAGTGGTTTATATAGAAAATAATACAACAATTAATGATAATACAAGAACAAACTCTGTGTTTCATGTACTCACAACCATAAACCTACTTTTGCCCACCTGTGTGTGTGTGTGTGTGTGTGTGTGTGTGTGTGTAGTTATACACATCTCCCTCCTCCCAGTATACTAATACTCAAACATGTCCAACTCAGACCAATGGGGAATAATATTTGTGAAATTAGCTCTCTGATTTTTATAATGAAGGTTGTTTTACAGAAATTCCTTTGCATGGCCATCTTTGCCAGGACCTCCTATTCTATGTTATGAGTATTACAAAATGGGGAGCAGAATTCTGTCCTTGAATTAAATAGAATGAGATTGCAGGATATATGAGGAAGAAAAACCTTCTAAAACTTCTAGCTTTTCTTTCCTTTTTTTCCCTTTGTTATTGCACATTGATGCCCTTCATTCTGAAATCTTGGCAGGTAATTATCAGAGACCCCTTTTCCGGTTCCCTGATGTCTTCCCTTCTGGGGCACCAGCTCCTACTTTTAGTAGGTGCCCCCTTTCTCTTGGAGATAATCACATCAGTTAGTCTCTCGTTCCAGGGGGATATGACCTAGAATCGGTTTTGTCTTTGAGAAATGAGGTCGCTTTCCTGGGGGAGGTGTCAGGAGAGAGTGAGTGGGAAGCCCCAGGCTGGGAGGGGAGATTCTTCCTGGCTTGTCCCAGTCCCTGTTGCAAAGGTGGTGACCCTGCTAGTTGGTGAGGAATGAGGACTGGTCTGTATGGCTTTAGTCCCCATCAATCCCCTAAAATGGTTCAGGCAGAAGTTAGTCATGTCCTCCTGCAATTCACAAATTTCACAGTTTCTTTTCTATTCCATTCAACCTGACCTGTAGGTAGAATTTGAAATTGTTTACTGCCTGAAACGTGAATCTCCTCCCCTGTACTCTTTCACACTTTAAAAAAAATATATTTTATTAATTTTTTACAGAAAGGGAGAGAGATAGAGAGTTAAAACATCGATGAGAGAGAAACATCGATCAGCTGCTTCCTGCACACCCCCTACTGGGGATGTCCCCACAACCAAAGTACATGCCCCTGACCGGAATCAAACCCGGGACCTTTCTGTCCGCAGGCCAATGCTCTATCCACTGAGCCAAACCAGTTTTGGCCACTTTTTCTTTTTGTCTCTGATCTTGATCCTTCACTGGCTGGATGTCTGCCATCCACCACCTCAAATATAGTGCTCTTCAGTCTTAAAGATGGCTCCCAGGGACCCCCATCTTCTGGTCTTCATGCCCGATGTCATCCCCTCCCTTTGCATGTGGGTTGGATCTAGTTCTAACCAATAGAATGTGACAAACATTAAAGGATACTCCTTCTAAGATTAGGTTATAATAGATCATGGTTTCTACCTCACTCTTTCAGAAATGGAAAGACCACATGGCAAAGAATTGAGGGAGCCTCTGGCCATCAGCCAACAAGGACCCAAGGTCTTCAGTCCAATAATACCCTTTGAGAAATTGGAGCCTGTCAAAAGCCACATGGGTGAGCTTTGAAGTATACCTTTCCCCAGTCCAGCCTTCAGATGAGATTACAGCCCCAGCTGATGCCTTGTCTGCAACTTGGTGAGATACTCTGAGCCGGAGGACGCAGGTAGGCCATGACCAGATTCCTGACTCACAGGAACCCACAAATAAATATTTGTTGTTTTATGCTGTTAAGTTTTGTGATAGTTTGTTATGCACCAATAGCTAACTAATGTATTAGGTTCCCGTGTTCTAGTCACTTCTCATTCCTCACCCTTCCCCTGGAAAAGCTCATCCATATTGGTGGATTTAGATGTTACTTATTAAATTAGGGCAACTGTGGCTTTAAGACCAAATGGGTAGGCAAGTATATCCAAGTTTCTACCATAATCTGCAGAATATCAGCTCCTTACCACCTGGCTCCTGCCCACCTTTCCTTCCCCATACCCAAACACTCTGTCCGTAGATCATTAAGGATCAGCCATACTGGTGCTCAGACTCACCAAGTTTATTTAACCTCATGGGCTTTGTGCTTGCTTTCCCCTTCTTCAGATATTCTGAATTTTCATATGGCTTACCCCCTTTCATCCTTTAGGTTTTTGCTCAAATTTTATCTCCTAAAAAGCCCCCTTTTGACGATCTGATCTGAAGTATCACACACCATACCATACTATATCACTCCTCCTCATAATACTCATCAGTTTGTGATTCTCTTACCTCCTTCTCTATATATTAGCCCTTTAATGGAACTCTTTTTTTTTTTATTGGCCTGCCACAGTGTTTTCTTTTCCTTATTGATTAACGTGTTACATATGTGTTTTTATCCTCCCCATTGCCCCCCACCCCCGCTCATGCCTTCACCACCTCCCCCCCCAATGGTGTCTGTGTCCATTGGTTAGGCTCATATGCATGCAAACAAGTCCTTTGGTTGATCTCTTCCTCTTACCCCCACCCTCCTCTGCCTTTCCTCTGAGGTTTGACAGTCTGATTGATGCTTTTCTGTCTCTGGATCTGTTTTTGTTCATCAGTTTATATTGTTCATTATATTCCACAAATGAGTGAGATCATGTGATATTAATCTCTCACCAACTGACTTATTTCACTTAGCATAATGCTTTCCAGGTCCATCCATGCTGTTGCAAATGGTAGGAGTTCCTTCCTTTTTACAGCAGTGTAGTATTTTATTGTGTAGATGTACCACATTTAAAAAAAAATTATTATTAATGAGACTCTTATTTCCCTTAGTCCTCACTGAATCAATGCTGCCTAACCTAGTTCCTGGCATAAAGCAGGCTCTTTGTACT